CACCACAACCTGTCCTCCATTGCTTAGGCCTTTGTCTGGTTCTTAGGCCTCTGGCTTCTAGGTCCTCTCAGCTCCTCATTTCTCTGCTGTAATGTCAATACCTCAAGACTGTCTCTCTATGCCTGGCTCCCTTTCCAGGGTAACCACAGCAATTATTTCCATCCCCATGGCTTTCTTCCATATGCCTTCATCAAATCCTTCCCTGAGAGAAGGAACTCCTGACCTCCACCACTCTCCTTTGTTTATCTGTGGATTCATCTCATGGCTCTCTCCTGTAGCTTTCACTTCCTTTACTGAAAAAGAGTCAGCTTCTCCTTAGCTGGGTCTAATAACAAATTACGCTAGACACACCCTTACGGTGTGGCAAGGTGGGCTATTAATATGTCAGATTCCTGTTTATTCACCTATGTGGGGAAGAGGCGCCCCAAACACCTAAGAATGGAGGCATCCAAAATCAATTTTAAAACGTTAGGTCTGGGCACTCTTGCTCCTACACATTATGAAGTCTACACAAACCCTCTCTGTAATAGATATCTAGTCCCTGGCTGTTGCACATGGCCTTCACCAGCCCAATATAACAGCTTTGTGAAGAACATATGACATATCTGAGCACAGGCAGATGCCAATACAGTAAAGCCAATGACTAATTAGATTCACAGGGTTGGATTACTGTGTATGGCTAGACTCTAAATTATGCCAGCTAGAGTGGTCTTCTAGGAACTGCTTCACTGTCCAGTAATTGTTGGAGTGATGTACGTGCTGCACCACTCCTTCCTGTTTCTTCCAAAAACCTGGGGAAATAAACTTAGGGATCCTCAATGAACTCCCAAAATGCAACCCTTCAGCCATTTTGTGAAATGCAGCAAAAGGAAGGTTCAATATATCTAGGGTTCTGCTTGACAAATAACTAAATCAGCTTGAGCCCCACCCTGCATGAAAATTGGGAAAAGTAAAGGTACCCTTTCTGGGTGCCCTTAACAGGTACAACATTGCCCTCACAGACACTCCAAGACCATGTTCAAATTTGAGAATTTTCATTAGGGGAAATGGAATATGGTTATGAACAGCAACAGAATATGTAAAAAAATCTAGAAGATTTACCTGGTTTTGCTTGGGTCCTTAACTCAAATAAGCTTAGTTTTTATTCATTTAAATCATTGCTTTGGGGTGGGCCTGGGAATGAGGGGTTCTTTATGCAGGCTACCTCATGGAGAAAGGACAACCCCAGTTCTCTCTCACTGCAGCAACTTGGGGACAGGTGAGAAGTGCCTCTCCATGACCACTGCAGCAGGCACAGCTGTGGGAGGGGGACAGACATACAGACACACACACAAACAAAATCTCTAAAATATATAGTAGATAAAGAGTATCATACTCACCCTTCCAATAACTTTGGCAGTAACCTAACTTCCTTCTCACCTGTCAGTCAGACTACCCCACAGGCAACAGTCATATAGGTATACTACTTCACCCATCCAACAACCATACTATCCCTGGAAGCCAACTACCTCACAAAGTGTAAGTTCCTATATAGTTATTGTGACTCCCCAACTCTCAGTAGGAATTGTGGGTAGGTAGCATATGCAAATGAAGCTCTCTATGTTAGCAATATTCTATTTTCAACCATGGAGGGGGCAGAAAGCTCTTTTCCCTCTGGTGCTTCATTCTAAACAACAGCATGTGTCCTTAAACCCTAAGTGCACTGCTATTTAAGGAGAAAGCAGAAATCCTAATTGTGAATTTTCTTACTGTCTTTGTGTTTAAAATAGACCACTTGGAGAATTCATCTTTGAAGTGCAGGTAAAGCAATGTAAAAGCCATGGAATTTAGGAATTACAGGTACTTCTAAGCTGAGATTTTATATGCCATAAAACCTGATGAAAGCTACGGCTATTGCCAAGTTATAAACCTCAGAAAATAGGTGTTGATAATGGAGATGCTATCGCTAATAGACATTTAATTACAACAGCACCGGCAGGTGCTGCAGTAATAATAAAAATAATGGTCCTTCACAGATAAAGCATGGCTAATGTCTTTTCTTGATAGCCTCCCAGCATGCTAGAAGGGCTGAGAAGCACACAAGTGCAATTCATGGCATCTGTAGTTTCCAGGGGTTTTATTAAGAACACTTTGCTGACACACTAACCGCTCCCATTACATTTTGATTTCTATGTGGCTCTGGCAAAGAATCTAAATAAACTGAATCTGAAATAACAGAAAAATATGAAATAATTGTTCTTTCCTAAACCTTGTATTTATTTTGTTCCCTTTCACTGTATTTATCTTTCTTTCTGTGTCACTATCTTTTTATGCTGATAATGAACATGGTGTGTAATTACCCAGCCACTAGAGATTATCATTGGACAACTAATTCTTTCTCCTTGGCCTCCCTGGAAAAGTGAAGAAGGTGATCCCAAAATATTACTAGATGTTGCCTACCCCAGCTTTGCAGAAGCACACAGAACCAAGAAGATGGTCCCTCAAAGCCTCCAGCCATGTCTTACAGTCACAATAGACTGAATATGTGGAATATGATTCTTGAGGATGATCTCAAAGTGGTGCTCAGGAGGAAGATACAAATAAACAAAATAAATGAGGAAATACATGAGAATGAATTTTCTTCCTTGTGATAGAGTGATTGGCCTGCACTGGTCCACAAGGAATTAAAACAGTCCTGTGTGAAGGTTGGAGCAGAGGCCCAAAACGAATAGGACTAGAGATAATCAATCAGGGCCTGTCTAGGCCCTATAAGAGCTCCCGGAGAGGAGGAGCTCAAACTTGCTCCAGTTCTGGAAGGAGAGGAACTTAGATGCCTGGTAGGGAAGGTACCATGGACAGAGCAGTGCTTGAGAAAGGCAGGGTGAACCAGGAGGGCTCAGGCCTGAATAACCTCCAGGCTTTGGCCCAGGAAGGTACTAGGCTGCAAAGGAGCAGCCAGGACAGGAATAGGCAGCATCCGACCCCTCTTTGCCAATGATGAAGTGGCCAGTTCAGACTGCAGTTTACCTTGAGGGAAGGGGCTAGATGACGAACAGCAGTGGGTCACTGAGGCAAGTGATGGCTTAGGAGGAACAAGGGGAAGACCCTGGTGTATGGGTGCTGTCATGGGGCAGTACTCAGGGGAAGGGGCACTAGTGTCTGTGAGGTTCAGGGGCTTAACGCAAATGGTGGAGACAAAAGGGACATATGAAACATTGGTCAGAAAAGGTTGCTCCGAGCTGGAGAAGAGTTAATACCCAGAGTGAGCCAGTGGCAGGTGCCATGGTGGAAAGTCATCAACCTGTCACATTCCTTCAATCAAATACAAAATCCCTGCCACTAAATCCTTGAGTAAAGCTGCTTCCTGACCTTAAATTTGGCAACCAATTTAACTTCATGCACATGAAAAGGCCTAATGAACAATTCACACTCAATAAGCTGGCCAGATATCTTAGCCTCGTTTTCAGTTGGTGGGATGGCTATAAACAGACACACTTCCTCCAGTGTCCTATTATTTGAGAATATTCAGCAAAAAGTTTTAGCAATTTTTTGCTAAAGAAAATGTGAATGAATTATGGGCAATTCTGTTTCGATAGTTACTGTTCAGGCAGCCTGCAGGTATTCATACACAGTACAATGTATTCTAATTGCTAACTGGATGAACATGTAAAGAACTTTTGGAATAAAAACAGCCCTGTGAAAATTGAAAGTTTGCCTTCCATAAACAAATGACTGACAT